ATATCCTAATTAAAGGACAAAGGCAGGTGCTGGTGTACAAAATACATAACTCTTTATTCCTTATTACATATAATGCTAAAACATTTCACAGCATGACAGGTAAAAAGAGAGGGTATAATGTGGTGTACACAGGCAAGGCAGGTCATAAACCCTTTAAATACAAAACCCAAATTAAGCAATCACCTTCATGTGATACACTGCAATCAGCACACTTCTGTGATAAACTTTAAAGGGTATTATTGCATATTGCTCAATGCCATTACCTGTGAATTGTACCGTTGTACCATCAATACCCAAATAAAATTAAAATACAATTCCCAAAGAAATACAATACAAACGAAAACTACAAAAGGAACACAAGAAAAATCTCCCCCTTCACGTTTCTCAACGCGCTCACTGAGCGCTGCGTCTAATTAACACACAAAACACACTAAATCATTAATTTAATATGGAGGTAAAGAAAACAGTGGCTGACAAACTCTCCTACAAATAAAAACATTATTAGATCAAGCAAGTCATTAACACACACTTACTACTCTTTAAAACATCCATACCTGAACCATAGATGCAGCTTGCCAAATGTATCCTCATAAAACGTGATCTTGCACCGTTTTACAATTACACAAAGAACAGATCAAAATACAAAACTCCAAATTTAAAATATACATCCCGTATCATATAAAACTCCATACCTGAAACAATTCAAATTGAGTCACACCGCAATCGACGGCTATCAGCCTTGCCTACTGGTCACATCAAACAGTTTTTCGAGAACTATTAGAGTCTTCTTTAAATACGGACTCCTTCACACAATAGTGCTTCGCCTTTTCACTCCCCTGCAGTGTCTGAAATGCTGTGCTAGTGGCACTCCCTTTACATGTGGCGTTCGCTCATACAAATGGCTAATTGCCCTCTAATTTGCGTCACCAGGTACCATAGACGGCTCACCTAAAACTATTTACTGACGCCGCCCACCTGACCTACTTTCCTATGTGCCACATTCACCCCCCTGTAAATGTCACCGTCCCGGTGACAAAACCATCAATTCCAGGGCCTGAACAAGACATTCAACCTGTTAATTATGGGGCAAATTGCATTCCCTTCCTCACCCTCCGGGCTCCTTGCTATGGTCCTAGGCAGGTGAAAAGGGTTGGAATGTTGGCCTGCTGTTATCCTTGTAGTCCGTCGTGTGACTCCATCTTGGACATGATCCTCTTCGCCCCCCGGAACAATATTCTCTAAAGACCCACCCTGGCCAGAACTTGAAAGAACAGGCTGGTTTAGAGGAGTCACGGTTGCACCTTGCTGCCTGGCTTCTTTATGTGGGGATGCTGGTTTCAACACCAGAAAATCCAACTCCTCTTCACTACTGAGGTCTGGGCTTTGTACAATTCTCTCTTGGGGATTGTCTCTATTCACCCTCCTCTCTATAATAGGAGGCAGATGGTTAGATGGATCGGTTAATAATGGACGCAGTTCCTGCCGATGAATATTCCTTTCTGGTCCCAACTGTCCTTTAGGTTTAATCTTATAAAGGGTCCCCACCTTGTCCAGGCACTGTACTACTTCATAGACAACAGACTCCCATTGATCCTGAATTTTATGGCGACCAACAGGATGACTTCGTCTATAGACAAGTGAACCTGCAGGCAAAATGGACAATGGAACAGAATCATTTCGAGTCCTATAAGCAGCCGCTGCTTCCAACTGAGTTCGTGCTTTAAGATAAATTGTCGTCAAATGTTGCTGATGTTCACTAGCCCAGTCTTCCACAGTGCCACCTACTGCTACCTCCTCTGTTAACCCCAGCAGTGAATCCACTGGGAGAAGGGGCTTTCTCCCAAACATTGGAGAAAATGGAGAAAATCCTGTAGACTGATGTACAGAAGTGTTGTATGCAAACAACAATTGAGGCAGACATCTTCTTTATCTTCTTTTCTGTTCTGGGGGTAAAGTACGCAGCAAATCGTAGAGTGTCCTATTGAACCGTTCGCACTGCCCGTTACCCTCCGGGTGGTACGGGCTAGTGCGTGACTTTTCAATGCCATACAACTGACAGATGCACTTCAGTAACTCACTCTCAAAATTTCGACCTTGGTCCGAATGGATACGCTTGGGGACCCCATACACATAGAACCAGCGTTCAGTGAGGATACGCACCACCGTACTTGCTTTCTGGTCTGGTGTAGGGTATGCTTGTGCAAACTTAGAGAACACATCAGTTACCACTAGAAGATTTTCTCTACCGTCACTGGCTCGTTCCAACATGGTGAAATCAATAGCCACAATTTCCAGTGGTCTAGATGCCAGCAGACTTCCCATAAAGGTTTTTACTTTGGGTTGGACCGCCTTGGCTGGAAGACACCTATGACATTCTTGGCACCAGCGTTCAATGTCACGTCGCATAAATGGCCAGTAACAACGCTGACGCACAAGGGTGGTGGTTCTTTCCACCCCTTGGTGGCCATGCTGGTCATGAAGATTGGTAAGTACTTCGGTTTTCAATCTCTGAGGTAACAACAATTGCAAAATTTCTTCCTTACCCCCAGGTACATGACTTTTACGATACAGGACTCCCTGCTGTTCCTGGATTCTCTTCTAGTGACGCACCAACTGTATCACTGCCGGAGATTCTTTTCCTCGTTTCCACAGCTGTAGGAATTGTGCCCCGCTTCCAATATACCAAAAAAGCCTGTATCACTGGATCTTCTTGCAGCAATACTTTTAAGTCTGCTTTACCTCGTGCTGGAATTGCCTCCATGGTTGATATAGAGGCAGACAAAATGTTGACCCGAACTATCGACAACCATTCCTACCTCCTCAGGAACAGTGATGCCAGAAGCAACTTCCCTCATGGAGCTCGGTAATGGTTGGGGCAAGCGGGAAAGTGCATCCGCATTCTTGTTGGATGAGCCTGGTCTATACATCATTGTGAAGTCGAATAACGCCAACTGTGCTACCCATCGTTGTTCCACAGCCCCCAACTTGGCCGTACGGAGGTAGCAGAGGGGATTGTTGTCAGTGTACACTGTAAATCTAGAGCCAAGGAGGTAATCTCTAAACTTTTCCGTGACTGACCATTTAAGCGCAAGCATCTCTAATTTCATTGCTGAATAGTTAGTCATGTTCCTTTCCGTGGGTCTCAGCCCCCGACTTGCATATGCAATTGGCCGCCGTTACCCTTCTTGTTCTTGCGACAATACAGCTCCCAGCCCAAAACTACTAGCATCCAACTCAAGAACAAATGGTCTGGTGAAGTCTGCGTACCCCAAAATTGGTGCAGATATCAGCTTCTCCTGTTAACTAAGGGTACATGTACAATTCCATCTCCCAGAGCTACAAGGCCACATTTGGCGTAGTCGGCAGGGTGTTAGGTGGTTGCTGGTGTTACCATTATTCTTTATTTATTTTCCTTTTTATTTTATTTTTTTTCTCTTTGTCTCTTCCCCCTAAGTTTTATTATTATTGTATGTTGTGAGTTGGTGAATGGTTGATTGCTGTGGAGGTGAAAAATAAGTACAAAGAGGAAAACAGTGGTTGGCAAGAGGACGTCCTGGGAGCATCTTCACATTACCATTGACGTTGGGCTTCGAGGTCAAGATTATTGTATTTCCCATACCTATCCTGCTTTATTTGTTTGTTTGTTTTTTCCTGGTGTTTATTTGCTCTTTACCTAGATTATGTCTGAGGGGGAGGAAGACCAGATTAGAGCCCTGACAGAACAGCTTCAGCAGCTACAAGCTGATAATGTCAAGCTTCGGCAGGAAGCGGCAGCCCAGCAGAATGCAGTGGAAGGACAGGGAGGGGTAGTAAATAGCCATGATGATGGTCTTACTGGCTCAAGGTATGTCTGTCTTCCCCGTGAACGAAAATGCCCAAGGTTTTCAGGCAGTATGGGTGCGGGAAGCCTTGGGGTAGAGGAATGGGTAGAGGAAGCTCGTAGATGCTTGAATTTTAGATACATGACATTAACTGAGCAAGCTTTGTTTGTGTATGATCACTTAGAGGGGGAGGCTAGGTCTGAAATTAGGTTTCGTCCTGCTTCAGTCAGGAATGACCCTGAACAAATTTTAGCTATTTTGCTCAAAACATTTGGGTGCTCACAATCAGTGAGCACAGTTTTTCCAATGACGTCAGTGGGATGGGGAGACGCTGCGAGAGTTTTCTCACTCATTAATGGCCTTAATGGAGGTAGTTAAGTGTAAGAACCCAACAGACATCCAGGATTCTGATAAAATAATACGTGACCATTTTGCAGAGCATGTTCGTGATGGTATGCTTCGCCGAGAATTGAAACGTCTTATTAGACAACAACCTTCTATATCCTTTATTGACGTTCGTAGTGAAGCAATACGTTGGGCTGATGATGGAGAGCGGTGTAGTGTCCCCCGGGCTAGAGCTTACTCTTGTGATACCCATAGTGATGTAGCAGATATGGAAGTAAAGACTAGTGCTGTGGTAGTTGAGTCTAGTAAAGAAATAAATGAATTGAAAGAGACACTGCGTAAGCAGCAAGCACAATTGGACACTATTCTACAACGGTTGTCTACTCCTGTCTGGCATGTTCCATCTAATGGTCCAAATAATCGGCCCCAACGCTATCGATTTGATTCAGATGGCCATCCTATTTGTATGCGATGTGGGCAATCCGGGCATATTGCTAGACGTTGTAATAATCAGGGGGGACGTACGAGCCATGGGGGAAACGGTCAGTCTGCTGGGTTGTCGGGAAACTAACTGCATCTAGCGCTCAGAGCCAGGTGCTAGATGGTGATTTTGTTGGCTCACCACGGAAAGTTAATGCATCCACTGCCCATTCTACGCTTATTGGCCAGTGCCCAGTGATTAAAGTAACTATGGCAGGTATGGATGCCTTGTGGATACAGGTTCGATGGTGTCAACTATTACCGAGGGTTTCTTTAAGGAACATTTCCAGTCTCAAGTCCAGGGTAATCTACAGGCATGTGGCTGGTTACAACTTAAAGCTGCAAATGGATTAGATATCCCCTATAGGGGCTACCTAGAATTAGATGTAATGATTCTGGGTAAAAATTTGCCTCGTATGGGCATATTGGTTGTACAGGATTCTCCTGATGCATTAACACAGAAAAAGAAATGCACTGTTCCTGGTTTGTTAGGGATGAATATTTTACAAAGTTGTTACCATGAGTTGTTTAGCCAACATGGTGCTGCATTGTTCCATTCCCCTTCAGCTGTAGATTTACCTGCACCTTTGAAATATGCTTTGACTGAATGCCAGATTTTTGAACATTTAACTGATTCCGAATTTATTGGTTGTGTTTCAGTCCCCTGGAGCAGGGAGTGGTGCGGGCGAGTTGCAGTCCTTTCTCTTCACCGATTGTTGTCGTCAAGAAGATGGGTCCATCCGTTTGTGTGTTGATTATCCTCAGCAAAATTCAAGAACAAGAAAGGATGCATTTCCCATCTGTACATCAGTCTACAGGATTTTCTCCATATGAATTGATGTTTGAGAGAAAGCCCCTTCTCCCAGTGGATTCACTGCTGGGGTTAAGCAGTGGAGGTAGGTAGCAGTAGGTGGCACTGTGGAAGACTGGGCCAGTGAACATCAGCAACATTTGACAACAATTTATCTTATAGCACGAACTCAGTTGGAAGCAGCGGCTGCTTATAGGACCCGAAATGATTCTGTTCCCTTGTCCATTTTGTCTGCAGGTTCACTTGTCTACAGATGAAGTCACCCTGTTGGTCGTCATAAAATTCAGGATCAATGGGAGTCTGTTGTCTATGAAGTAGTACAGTGCCTGGATAAGGTGGGGACCCTTTATAAGATTAAACCTAAAGGACAGTTGGGATCAGAAAGGAATATTCATCGGCAGGAACTGCGTCCACTATTAACCGATTTATCCAACCATCTGCCTCCTATTACAGAGAGGAGGGTGAATAGAGACAATCCCCAAGAGAGAATTGTACAAAGCACTCTGTATTTACAGGATTTCACTGTCCACTCTGTTCAAATGTGGATGAATGACTACACATAGATGTGTGCACACACTGTCAGAGCTGTGCGAGATCACTACCATACTGCTTTTGTGGGGGTGGGTAGGGGTGTTCATTTTTTCCCCCATAGGTTTTTAACGTTCTAAAAGTTAAAGTGCATAAGCGCATAAAAGTGCGCTTGCGCGTGCCTCGAAAGAGGGCTAATGACTTACAAAGATACACAACAGCTACAATTGTTGTGGGTGTATGAGTGCGAGATTTCCCGGCCTGAATTTTTTTCCCCAGTCTGCCCCTCGTGGAAATTAATGGTGCAGACATGCGGTTTCATTTAGCCTACTACACATAGGCCTACTCAAGGTGTTTTCAGCCTCTGCCGCCTCAATATGAGTACATGAACACATAAACATAATCTCTAGAACTGCTCT